CCCCCATTCCTAACTTTCTCGGCTACCAATTTATACTTATAAACTTGATATATAATTTTATAGCTTGATATATAAGCTATTCCATTCCATTCCTAATTTTGCTCGGCAACCAACTTATAATTTTAAACTTGATATATAAGTTTATAGCTTGATATATAAGCTATTCCATTTTACTTTTTCTTAACAATGACCCTGCCTTATTTTTTCGGCAACCTATTTTACTTTAAACTTGATATATAAGTTTATAGCTTGATATATAAGCTATTAAAATTTACAGATTCTTATTTAAACCGATTTATCATCTTAACTATTTAGTTTATGCTCATTCAGTTCACTTTCAATAGTTAAATTTCAAAAGCTTGATATTTAAGCTATATGTATAGAAGACAATTTTTAAAAATAGTACTAATAAAAGCCGGTTTCTTTGTACTATTTAATTTTTCACCTAGGAAACAAGTTTCTTAGCTCGGTATTCAAGCTTAGTTTATTAGTTCAATAAACAAACTTGAAATATAAAAAGCTCGATACAGATTCTTAATTTATTAGTTCCATAAACAAAACTTGATATATAAGTTTTCTAAGCTTGATATATAAGCTCTTAGCTTTCAGCTCTCACTTGATATAGAAACTTTGCTTTAAATTATGCAATGAATATAGCCACAATTACCCCCACTTAATTCCATGTTCATTCTATCAACTTATTTTCCTAATTTTATTTACTACTTATTCCGCCTAATAACTAACAGTTTCATATGAAGGAAAGGCTTACACTCCCCGACCAGTGCTAGGAGTCACTAAATATGGCAACAACGGACTTTTCTCGAAAAACTCTTTTCCTGCAAACCTCTCATCAAATTGGAGAGATTACCTAGCCTGCCTAGCCAACCACTCACTGGCCAAGAAAACTTGGAGCGCTTATAAAACAGCCGGGAAGCTCCTAGTGCAGTGCCAAAACCAAACAGGAGAGTCCTTGGCGCTACCTCTTGACGACAACAAAGTGTTAATTTACGTGGCCTGGCTATTCAGCAGAGGCCTACAAAGTAGAACAGTGAGCACGTACCTCTCAGGCCTTAGGCAGGTACACTTAGCAAAGGGCATTATAATCCCTTCCCTCAGACCCGACCTTGTAAAACAGCTGTTAACAGGAGCTGCAAACCTGGATAGAATAAGAGCCAGCTTAAATGAGAAACCAACCCGGCTCCCGATGACATCAACAATGATGAAACTTTTCAAACAAGAAATCCAAGACAGTTCGGATTGCAGAGAAAGGAAAAGGTTAGTTTGGGCCATCGCAGCTTTACTCTTCATGGGTGCATTCAGAATACACGAGCTGCTCGCGAGAACAGAGAATGTTTTCGACCCCAACTTTACCCTGCTCACGAGAGACCTGCAGGTAAAAACTGTCAAGATAAACAACGAAACAATCAAGATCATACAAGTTAAACTCAAGTCTCCTAAAACAGACAGAATAGGGGTGGACACCATTGTAGATGTTTACGAATCCTCCGGTCCCCTGTGCCCAGTGAAAGCACTGCTGAAATGGCAAGCGGTAGCTTCACACAGAACCAACAATTCACCAGCGTTCCGAGACGAGCAAGGGAAACCTCTTACTGGAGCTAGATTTAACAAATACCTGAAAACCTACTTGGGGAAATACCTAGATCAAAAAGTCGGGAAAATAACTTCCCATTCCTTTCGGGCCGGCATGGCTTCTTTACTAGGCACCCTGGGTTTCACTGACGAGGAAATCCAAGCAGTGGGCCGCTGGAGCAGCAGAGCTTTTATGAACTATATCAAATTGCCAAGAACCCACAGGCTAACCATGGCGAGAAAGATCGGAAAGCTAAGTCTCTAGCCTAATTAGAGCACATTACCACTCTTAGTTGTAATTTAACTATGATAACTCAATGTATAACTCTTATACTTAGTTATAATAAATATTTAATCCCATAATAAACAATTTAAACAACTTTGTATATAACTTTGAATTCCTCAATGATCCCTTTCAGTTTCACATGGTAGCTACTTATTGATTGATTTACAAATAACAAGCCTATTATTTAGGAGGCCATGACCAGGACTCAGATAACTCTGATAAAAGTTCTGCAGACTTATCTAGCGTCGAAGAAGACAGAGAGGATCTCTTAGAAGAACTTAACAATGAACTTGCAGGTAGATCTCTCATTTAACGTGAAATTTGGACTTATACCCAAAATGACTTACATGCAACCATAAAGCCTTAAAAAATTCAAATATCAACTTGACAATTTACTAGTTCTAATCTTTTCAATCAAACTTAAATTGATATTTAATTTATACTAATTAACTTATCAACTTACAGGTTTGGCGCCTCAGGCCAACACGACCAGGAAAAGGGCAGCCGACCCGACAGCCACAAGGCCTAAAGAGAAAAGGAAATCCGTGGAGGTGTTATCTCGACCTCTGAGAGCCCCAAGTCCTCCTACCAATAGGACTAACAGGATTCCTTCAAAACCAGCAACTAGATCCATGCCAAGAATCCCCAGGTAGCATTTTGATCTCAACTCCAAATAACATCCTTTGACCTTTATTAATAGATTGAATAGCTAATCGGTTTATTGACAGGTCGATTATTCGATTATTTATTTGATAACAATGTAAAATGATCATCCAGTTAAATGTTCAGTTGATTTATATATTGGATTAGTTGATAAATGGTGCGGCTGATGGTTCAATTAGTTAACAACTTAAAAAATTTAAATCCTGAAAGAGCAAAATTGATTAACTATTTGATAACAATTTAAAATGGTCATCAGGTTAATTGATTGGTTGTTTAACATATTGATTAGTTGACTAATTGTTTGCCTGATGATTCAATTGGTTAACCACTTAATTATTTAAATCCTGGGGGAACACTATGCCAGTTTAGTTACTGAATGGATTGATTGATCTATTGAACGACTAATCAATTGTTAACCACTTAAATATTTAAATCCTGAAAGAGCAAAATTGATTAACTATTTAACCATGTAAAATGGTCATCAGGTTAATTGATTGGTTGGTTTATATATGGATTAGTTGGTTAATTGTTCGGCTGATGTTTCAATTGGTTAACCACATAAATATTTAACTCCTGAAAGAACACAATGCGCTAGTTTAGTTATTGGATGGATTGATTGATCGATTGATCTATTGTTTGATAGACGTTGATTAGTTGATCACATAATTGGTTTAAGTCTTGGTGAGATAGTTTAGTTGATTGATCGAGTGATTGATTGAATGACTGATTAATTGATTGATTGGGTTTGTTAGACGTAAACTTAATATTTAAATAATGACAAGAATTCATTATTCCGATTAAACTTGTACACTTGGTCATCATGCGACAATAACTTAAATAATATTCAGGAATACGCCGAGAGCCCCTCCACAATCCGAATCCGATGGAGATGACTCCAATTTCTCCATGCTAGAGGACACGCTTCCTGAAGATGCAAGGATGTTAGAGCATAAAAAGAAGAAAATCAACTCAATGACTTGGGAAGGGGTTATGAAACTGGTGGAGCTTAGACGGAAAAGTGCTCTATTCAACGATAGCCAAAACCATTTTTCTAAAGACCAACCTCCGAAACCCAAAATTTTCCCAGAGCAAACCGACGATGGAATGAAAACCCTCCATGATGCGCGTTTCCTCCGATGCCCACTGGCGGAGCCGGAAACCTGGTGGAAGAAAGTCCCTACTTCAAGACCACACCTGTTTAAAAACATACCCCTGTCTTTCATGGGCGCTCAAAACAAAATTGCGGACAAGACGATTGGATGCATGCACGACAGAGCAAAACCCCTAACTCTGAAGAACTTCTCATCTCAGAACGCCTGCGTGTCCTCGAAACCTATGAAAAGGATAGAGCGCAAAGGAGCTGAAGGCTTAGAAATGATATACGACTATGCCTGGGAAGATCCTTCCAGCATGTCCGAGGTCACCGAATCCTTGCTAAACTACTCCACCGTGCTCCAGCAGCTGTGGCCATACGATCCAACAGCCTTAATCATGCTGCGTCTGATTAACAAATATAAGTGGATAAATGTGTCAACTGACATGAAGGAAAAGATTTCCGTCATCACCATGTTCTTCAACTCAGTACTGCAGGACAACGCAGGGAGGTCAGTAAGAGGAGAGACAGTCTTAAACTGTAAAGAACAGGAAGAGATGCTCAAGACAGCACTGATTGCTCACAACCTCCAAAGCTCAGTTCCAACCTCGAGGCCAAGGGCCGACACAGAGTCAAGAAACAGAACCAGATTTAATCAACCTGCCCAGAACCAGCATTTCAATACTGGGAATTTTAAGAACGGAGGAAGAAAGAAAAATTTCTCCGCTAACTCCAGCGGACAGTTTTCCTCTAGTAGTCAAAGCAGACCAAGGGCTTCATTCAACAACCTCTCTGTGTGCTATAGTTATAACAGTGAAAACTGTAAGAACCCACCCTCTTCTGCTGGTTGCAAGAATGGTTCCAGAGAGTTGGCGCATGTTTGCAACGTTTGGATGAGCAACCAAAATGCCTATTGCCTAGCCTCTCATCCCCGAACCAAACACTAATGTTTGGGACCGTAGAGGATGCCGCCTGGTCGTATGCTAAGTCAGAGACAGATTCCCTTGAATTTATTCGCTTAATTGGAACCAAATGCTATCTGAGGCCTACTGGATGATAGCTCTTATTTATCGTATTTAGTAAACAGATTTATTTAATGTTGCTTTTAAATTAAACCCCACTTGATGATAGTTATTATCAAATGTACTTAATAAACAGATTTTATCCAAAGTTGTTTAAATTAAACCCTGTCTAATGCTTGATGCTGGTTCATTGCTATCAAATGTAATAAATTGATTTATTTCAAGTATCGCTTAAATGAACTTATGACTCCAGCTAGTTAGTTAATTTTACAAACAGAGCTATTTAAAGTTGCATTTAAATAACGTATTAGAAATGGTTCCGGATATTTAGTATATTTCTATCCTCTTCAATTATACTGATTTGTTTAAAAGGTGCATTTATATAAACTTATTAGAAATGGTTCCAGATATTTAGTGTATCTCTGTCCTATTTAACAAACTGATTTATTTAAGGGTGCATTTAAATAAATTCATAGAACTGGTTCCAGTTATTTAACACGAGGTTTGTGCATCGGCCTTAGCTTTCTAGGGTACAAGATTAAGTGACAGTGGTTCAGTTCAATTAATTACAATTTAATTATATAGTTGTGGATCACAATTTAGTTAATTTCAAAAGTGTATTTAAATTTATTAAAACCGGTTAATTGTGCCTCATTTCTTTCAACTCGTTAATTTCAAATGCACTTATCTCTTATATTAATAAGCTGTTAAGTGTTATATGGCACATATTTAACATGGTTACGTGATTGAGAGACAATCAATAGAGATAATTACACTTAATCACCTTCAATTCGTTTAATTTAAAGCGGTTATCCATGACGTTAATAAACAGTTAAGTTTCATGACAAACACTTTAACATAGTTACGATATCGAGGATTTCAATCCGGTTAATTACACTTAGTTTCTTTCAGCCAATTTAATTTCAAGAGCATATATCTCTGACGTTAATTAACAGTTAAGTCCTATATGACAACTACTTTAATATAGTTACGAAATTGAGTCTTTAATCCAGTTAACTACTCTAAGTTTATTTTCGTTTAATTAAAATTTTTTTTTTAAAGCTGTTATCACTAACGCTAATAAGTACTTAAATGTCATACAACGAATACTTGAACTTTCCGTGACTATAATGCTCAGCGGCAATTTTTCTGTTGCATTTCAGTCACCAGCTGCACACATAATTAATTAATTTAAATTGGTAAATTATTGATGGACTATGTTCAACAAATGTAATTAAGTCCACCACAGTCAGGAAACAGGCTTAGTCTTAATTACTCGCTTTATTCAACCCCCTCCCCCCCGCTGGTATATTGGATAATTGTGGGTTTGGACCAAATAATGTTTAGGTTTCAGCAGAGCAGTGATGGATGCTTTGATCTTTTGGAGAGCCTTGTGGGCCGAAACGGCGAATATGACGATATTAGACCTCCCACCGCCTAAATTATTCAAGCAAAAATTCCCACTACCAGTGTTAATAAATTACAGAGTCGAGTTCCCTCCTTGGTTCTGGTCAATGGTTCCTACGAATTTAAACCAACCAGCTAATTCTCTAGTAAACGGGGATGTTCTTTACAGACTCGCAGTCAGTTATGGCTTCAATGATCTGGCCCTGTTGGACACCATAAGGAACGACTTGAAGTTTGGAGCGCATATAGGCTGTAAAGGAAAGTTCAGGAACCCCTCTAAGGCCACAAACGCACCGAGCGCCTACGAGAATGGGGCTCAAGTAACCGACGCAATTTGTGATTGGCTCTCAAAAGGGTTTGCCTATGGGCCCGTAAATCTAGATGAAGTTCCAAGCTCCGCTAAGTTCAGTGGAATAATGACCAGGCCAAAACCCAATGGCTCTGTACACTTGGTCATCATGCGACAATAACTTAAATAATATTCAGGAATACGCCGAGAGCCCCTCCACAATCCGAATCCGATGGAGATGACTCCAATTTCTCCATGCTAGAGGACACGCTTCCTGAAGATGCAAGGATGTTAGAGCATAAAAAGAAGAAAATCAACTCAATGACTTGGGAAGGGGTTATGAAACTGGTGGAGCTTAGACGGAAAAGTGCTCTATTCAACGATAGCCAAAACCATTTTTCTAAAGACCAACCTCCGAAACCCAAAATTTTCCCAGAGCAAACCGACGATGGAATGAAAACCCTCCATGATNAATGTGCTTTCTCCAGGTTCTGGGATTTGTCCGAAGGGGCAGGTTTCTCTGATCTGCCTTTAGAGCCGGCTTGGATCCCCTTGTCCTTGGTTAGTTGGGTAAATGATCCCGTCCCTGATGACGACCTTGGGGACAAGATTTTGTGTGAGCTAGCTAAACGGACATTGGTTTTGGGGGTAAACTGTTAGGTGAGTAAGCTTGGGATCAGAGGGTTTTAGGAAGTTCAGGGCACTGGGACTCGGCTTTGCCTTTTTTGGGTATTATTTACTAGCCAGTCCTTTTAGTCTACACACTTATGTATACTTGACTTTACCGTTACTTACGCCGGTTAGCCCAGCAGGCTCCGGCGTCATCAGTATACGTTTATGTAGGCTCAGGACTTGTTGGGTTGAGACTGAGACCGGCTAAGCCGGCCGCCCCAAGTCCTATTTATTGCAGCCCTCTATTCAGGTTGGTCTGTGCTGGTGGCCTGCCAGCATGTGACCTTTCTGGATCTTCCTTGTTCCTTCTTTTCCTCTCTCTTCTCTCCACTCTCTACAAGCTGAGGTAAGCGCAACGGTACAATAGGTAACATTTCGTTTAGATTAAATTTCGCTGTGGTAACATTTAGTTTAGGTAACTTTTAGTATAGCTGCGACATTTAGTAAAGGTTTAACAGTAGTTTTACATTTCCCGTGCGTAGTTCATCCGTATGGACAACTTGTAACTTTTTAAAATAATTTTACAAGAATATACATTTATTTCTCTTGTGGTACTTCCTCATCATATTATCAAAACTTTTTTACTATTTTCAAACTGAAAAAGTTGTATCACAGTAAATAACGATTTTTAACTTATTTTTTTTTTGATTTGATCGGTTCAAATATTACCAATAATACTAATTATCAGCTGTTTAAATGTCAACAAACCGGAAATGTTACCAGGTACAAAATGTTCCATATCCAAGAATGTATGACATAAGAAATTGTACTTTTACACAATGTTATCATTACAAATTGTTTCCTGCTAAAATGTTACCAATTAGAATGTTACCAACACCAACTACATGCAAAATATTTTACCAATACAAAAGATCATCAATAGAAAATTTTATATACACAAATGTTGTCCATACAGATCAATAGAATAGTTAAAATATTGCTGAAAATGTTGTCATTTTAACAAGGCTACTTTTAAGACAGTTAATTGGATAAAATTGTGAAAGCTGATATAAATCTTGTAAACGGACCAAAATTAAAGTTAACGTTAGGTTTAATTGATGATGAAGGAAAGGAATATATTTATTAAGTTTTGTAAAGAAGTTTTTTTACTTTATAATATAAACGATTAAGACTAAAAATATTTTTTTCCTAAAAAATACAAGAACTTAAAAATTACGATTTGGAATTTGTTATACTATTTATAAAGGTATATGCGGGATTTATTTGTTTATTTATACAGGAAAATGTGTCATTTTTATTCTTCCTAAAGATTATCAGCTGTTCATATAAAATATTATTTATAAGGTTAATTATAAAGGCATAGAAACTTTTTTTCGGAATTATGTTAAGGAGTTTTAGTTGATTTATTTATTTACTGAACTAGGATTAAATATAAATGAGATTCGAATTCGTGTAATTGAAACAAACTCCATTAGCTTGTAACTTTAAAAAATGAAATTCTCTGTTACAGTTCTGATTTCAATAAAAATATATTTAATGATGGCAAATATTGTACTTTTTCTAAATAAGACATTGCATGAAGGTTTCATCCTAAGCTTTTTTCTCAACACGGTAAGTAATCTTCAGATAGATATTTTCCGTAAATTTGTGTTACTCTGCGCCCATTCTTGGCCATTAATCATTATTGGAACTAATGTCCCCTATGATTGTCCCAGAAAGCTGTTACTTTCGATCCCAATTTGACCTATTAAACATCCTGTTTCGAATTTTAAAATTTTTATACTTTTTTGTCAGTAAATGCGTTTTAAATTAAATGTTTAGTTTTTACGTCCTGGACTTTGGACTATTCTGCAAAACATATAGTTAAAAAACTTTTTCTGTTTCTACTTCTATTTTTTATAATAGCAGGACTGTTTTTTGATATGGATTATAAACATTTGTGAGGAGAAAAGTGAGCAGTGGAGAGTACGGAGACTACGTATTCTTATGAACTTCATATAACAAGGTAAATATTTTAACTGCTTGGACAAAACATTTCTCAACAAGGTTCCATTTGTAAATTTTTAAAATGTTTAGAAGAGTGTTCAGAATTTGAAAAAAATAAAAGATAGATTTACTGACATAAACTCTTTGTTTTTTTCTGTGCATACTGCTGCGATATTCAGTATTCTAACCGTATATATAGGGGGTTTAAGGGGATATGCAGTATTCTGACCGTATATATCGTGGGTTTAAGGGGATATGCAGTATTCTAACCGTATATATAGGGGGTTTAAGGGGATATGCAGTATTCTATATAGGGGGTTTAAGGGGATATGCAGTATTCTATCCGTATATATATAGTGGGTTTAAGGGGATATGCAGTATTCTGACCGTATGTATAATGAATTTAATGGGATATGCAGTATCCTGACCAATAATATATAGTGGATTTAAGGGGATATGCAGTATCCTGACCGTATTTATATGGGGTTTAAGGGGATATGCAGTATCCTGACCGTATATATAGAGGTTTAAGGGGATATGCAGTATTCTGACCGTATATATAGAGGGTTTAAGGGGATATGCAGTATTCTGACGAATATATAAGGGGTTTAAGGAGATATCCAGTAATCTGACCGTATATAAGGGGTTTAAGGGGGGAGTATGCCAGAAAATAGGAATTGTTAGATTTTTAAAAGAATGCATTACAAAAAAGTTTAATTTTATCAAAAATGTTCTCCTGCAAAATACTCCTAGTATATACTTAGAGATTTCTTTAAGCGGCGTTGATGTTTTGTTCGACCTTACATTTAGAAAAGATTGAAAAATATTTTAGACCTTAGCTGTTTTTACCTTTGCCAGTTTGATCTAGAAAAATGAATAGTATCAGCAAGGGTAAGGTCTATCAAGTTG